GAGATGTAACTGGAACTCGTTACAGTGTTATTACAGTCACCGCAGGGAAGAACTGGGGCTTGAGCCAGGGCGGGAACGGAATACAGAGGCGAGCTCTGCACAGGACTGTGGAAGGTGAATGCAAAGGACCCCGGAACTGATTGGACATAAGGGTGAGAAAGAAGGATGAGTCGTTATAGGTTTTCCATATGGGAAACTAGGATCATACTGTTAGGGAAGCCAGGCAGGAAAGCCTATTTGAAGAGAAAAGTGATTAACTGAGCTTTGGATGTGATTATTAATTTATTCTATAAATATCTGTGGATGTCTATGGTGTGCAAGAAATGTTGCTGGGCTTGGGCTATACGGATTAATGAGATATTGCCTTAGCTCCTGAAATGCCTAAACCAAATAAATAAAATACAATGCTGAGTTTAAAACACTGTTGAAGGGGCAGAGGAATGTAAAAAAAAATCTATCACAAGAAATCCGACTTTGCTGTATATAATCATTCCATTATAAATCTCTCTTGATATGAAAGTGCCTATAAGCAGAGACCTATTTGGGTCTCTCATGTTCTTCAAGAAAAGACTGATGCTATCAAGCAGCTGATATCCAAGTGTACCTCATTCCTGCAGTACTCTCTGACTTCTAATTACATCAACGGCAACGTAACATCGTTGAACCTCAGCTGGATTCTCTCTCTCAGCGTGTTCCATCTAACAGATTTGACACTGGCTACTACAAAGGAGAATAGATCCATAGAACCAGGGATACGTTCCCTCAGAGGCTGAACAAAACCGTCAGGACAGCTACGAAGCAGAAGCTTCATGCGGCAGATTTCAGTGATCCAAGAACCACTCACCGCTCATGCCGTCGGAGGATCAGGGTGCACCCTCACTGCCGTGACAGGGAATGTCTGCAGGAACACTTTCTCGCATAGCTTTTGTCCACATCAAATAGAAGCCCATGATATTCTTATTAGATAGAAGCCACAAAGGCTTTCTCACAATGCCCTGTCCCTTTGATACGACATGTATTAATCTACCGAGTACTTGTTGAGAGCCAGCTCTGCCTGTGTGTGCCAGTGATGCACACGAGTGAGCCACACGTACAGATCTAAACTCTTCTATCATTTTCAACTACTATCTTCAGCTATTATCTGAAGCTGTTTGCAATGTCAAAAATGTGTGTCAGAATAGAACCACTTCAATCATTCTTGAGGACAAGTCTTGAGGAGTGCTTGACTTGTGAAACCTCGATACTGTCCCGCCATCTCTGTTTGCTTGTTCCTACCTGCTTCCCAGACCGAAAGGTTGCTCCACAGGGAATTACACATGGGGGACAATGTAAGAGCTTCAGAGATTTCTTGAGTTGGGCCCCCCTTTTAAGCCTCTCCTCCTTCCCCGTGAAAACTTACCTATTGCGTAGCTACTCAAAGGAGCAAGACATTTAGCTGGTTGGCAGCCAGAAAAGGCCACACTTGGCTGCCCATAACAAAATGTTACTAATAAGATCTAGCCCAGTTGGTGTGGCTCAGTGGTTGAGCGTCAACCCAGGCACCAAGATGTTGCCAGTTTGATTCCCGGTCAGGGCACATGCCCACGTTGCCCAGTAGGGGGATGCTGGAGGTGGCCAATTGATGATCTCTTTCATTGATGTTTTTATATCTCTCTCTCACTTCCTCTCTCTCTAAAAATCAATAAAGAAAAAAAATTTTTTTAAATAAAGTAATAAGATATATTTATTGGTTTCCTTTCACCTTTATTGTATACTGCTAGGGAGTGGAGATTATATTCCTTCTATAATTAACCTTAAATATTTTAGAATTATATAATTATGTAAATATGTAATGTAAAACATATATATCACATTAAAATATTACATAATTCTCTGCCTCAGTGACTGTATTCAGATAATAAATTTATAACCAATATGTTAATGGACAGTGCTCAATTTGTCACTGGGAAAACCTGTTGGCAGCTTATATGCAACTTATCAACAAAACTATTCAGGGAAAATTTCACTGACACACACCACCAGCCTATAGAGACAAGTACATATAATTGAAACAGTCGGTCGGTATACATAGCAGCAAATAGGCTAACACAGAAGGAGACGCATTAGGAGGGCTCAGCCTAACGTAGTTGTCTTCATGTCATTCACCTTGTTGCTTTTTTCGTACTCTCTACAACAGGTGCTGGATGGTTCCCCCATTGAAGTGACCCTGGCCAAACCAGTGGACAAGGACAGTTACGTTAGGTATACCCGAGGCACAGGTGGAAGGGGCACCATGCTACAAGGGGAGTATACCTATTCTTTGGGCCATGTCTATGATCCTACCACAACCTACCTTGGAGCTCCTGTCTTCTATGCCCCCCAGGCCTATACGATTCCTAGCCTTCATTTCCCAGCCACCAAAGGACATCTTGGCAACAGGGCCGTTATCCGAGCCCCTTCTGTTAGAGGTAATACTAATCAGCTCTTGCCTTAGAATAACTTCATGATTTCAAATGATTTGTACTGGAACAGCCTTAGACAAATTGGATGGGTCCACTGGGAGAAAAGGACTCGAAAATTGTTTTGTAAAAATCAAATATTTCATCAATAGTTTTCATTCCATAGGAATCTTTTTTCACATTACAACTGGTTATTGAGAAAACTTGGTCACCACAGAATACAAATAAGTCTATGCACACATTTGATCTTTGCATGGACCCATAAAATTTGCACAAACTAAATCTCAGGTCCACAACTGTTCACTTCTCTCTTCTCATTGAATCACCATATTGCAGTCATATGTGACTTGTTACAAAACTCACAAGTTAGAGCAGTGTGGTCCAATGGAAACCAGTCAGCTCAAATAGCAAAAACATGTCAAGGAATTTGTATATTTGATAGTGACTCAGTGGCATCATCTTTTTACGTAAATCACAAATTATCATAAATATATTCTAACATATATAAGATGTTCTTATCTGGCTCCCCCAGGAAATACGTGCTATGCCTTCTGAAAAGGCACATTATTAAGGAAGTCAACTTATTTCTTCAGAATACAGGTAACTCTATAGTAAAGCACAAATAGAAGAGGGTAAAAAAAAAAAACTCAATCTGACTGCTAAGCCATAAATCTTTCCTATTGAATCCTATAAAAATTCCAAATGTTCAAGCAGTTTTCTGAGCTCTGTCAGTTGAAGCAATACTGAGAATAAGAAAGCAATGCTTTTCATTTCCAACGAACTAGCTTGTCTCTGCCTAATGGGACCCTTCAGAATGATTCTGCTAGAACGTGGTTAATGCCAACAGAAGCCTCGTTCTATCTCCCAAACGTGACACCAGTCCAGCAGTTCAACTACAAAGTGTGTATTTAAATCAATTCTTGGGTTTGCCTTAGAAGCAAACAGGCATGTCCAGATTACTGTGGAAATAGTTCTTTTACTGTGTTTTACTATTTTTCAGGGGAACTGAATTGACTATCCTATGAACTCTAGTTTTCAATGCCTTAAAAGTCCCATTCCCCCAAAATTATAATGCAAAAGAAATCATGAGGATTTCCTTCAGTCTATATGATGAAAAATTATGTCATTAAAACATTATGCATTTATCATCTAAAATCACATCATTAAACAATCCATACATTAAATCCAAGCTGTTAACCAGTTGTAATGTAAGGAAAAACCACTCTACTCAAGGGTTAAAAATACCTGTCTTATAACAAGAAAAAAAAAATCAATGAATGATATTTATGGATGAAGGGTAATCAGTTTAACACTTTTATCTTTATACCCACAATAGGAAATCAAAGTAGCAATGTGGAAAACAAAAAAATCAAAAGGAATCTATTAATGAAACTCAATGGAAATTTAAGCCTCACATTGATAGAACATAAGATAGAAAGTAGTGAATTTAAAATGCTTTCTAATTGTTGGTTTTCCAATAGGTCAGTGAGAATGGAAGTATTGGGAAAACTAGAATTCATTTCTGATTTACTGATCAGTGACAAAATGCAAGATTGATTTTAATGCATGTGGTCATATCATGCTGGGGTGTGCTTTCAGAAAAAGAAAGAAAAAAAAAACCTTCCTAACATTTATTATTCTACAGAAAAATGTCAATAAAAGGTTAACTAAAGACAGAAACTGAAAAATTTTTCTCTGTACCAAATTTTAATATTGCTCATGTACTTATCAATAGCTTTGATAGTATATCTTTATTCCACAAATAGTTTAAAAAAAAAAAAAAAAGACACCCCTGGTGAACTCTACCTTATTTTGAGTTTCATTATATTAGAATCCTAGAGTTTTCTTTGTCTTCAGGGCAATAATCAATGTGACTTGGGCTAACTTTTCCATTACAGTAAGATTCAGGGTGATTTTCTGGTGGTTTGATTCAGCTTAATGCCTTCTTACATTCCTAGAAATTTACATGAATGTACCTGTAGGGGCTGCGGGAGTCAGAGGACTGGGCGGCCGAGGCTATTTGGCGTACACAGGCCTGGGGCGTGGATATCAGGTCAAAGGAGACAAGAAAGAAGACAAACTCTACGATCTTTTACCTGGGATGGAACTCACCCCGATGAATCCTATTACCTTAAAACCCCAAGGAATTAAACTTGCTCCCCAGGTAGGTGGTGCTATTCCAGAGATAGTTTCTTTAAGTTGAGCCGAAGTCCATTATTTACCTTTCATCAAATGATTTGACTTGATTCCTACTTGGGTTACTGTTTTTTGTTTTGTCTTGTTTTGTTGTTGTTGTTTTGTTTTTACATAGCTACAGTGACCAATCAACATAATATACTGTCAGAGAGTGTTGAGGGCCACTGTTCCATTATAGACTTTCATTTCCTTTTTAATTACAAAGTTTAGTACCTTAAATAATCTTCCACTGTGCCCTGGCCAGTTTGGCTCAGCGGTTAGAGCGTCAGCCTGCGGTCTGGAGAGACCCGGGTTCGGTCCCCGCTAAGGGCACGTACTTCGGTTGCAGTTTGTCCCCGGCCCTGGTTGGTCATGCGGGTGGCAGCCACTTGATGTGTCCCTTCACGTCGATGTTTCTCACTCTCTCTCCCTTCCTCTCTCTCCCTCCCACTCTATCTGTACAAAAAATGGAAAAATATCCTCGGGTGAGGATTAAAAAATAAAAATAAAAAATAAAAATAATCTTCCACTGAAATGCAAAGATCCTGAGAGCTATTGAGAATTATCAACCAAGACCTTAAGTAAGATCATATAAAGCAAAGACCTTAGTTCAAAATAAATGCCAATTGTATGTGAGCCAGGTTGGTTAGCAAATAAAGAGTATTCGTGAAAGTGAATGAGTAGACCAGTTAGGACATCCTTTCTTGGAAACAACATTGGGTTTAAGAGAAAATAGCATGTTACCTATGGGGATACTATTACTTGTATTAACTATAAGGTGCCACCAGTCACATCAAATTAAGTTTTCTACTGTGATTATATTTGCACAGTAGTATTAGGGTGAGTTTGTATTGCTTTCATTTCACAGTTCTAAGTTTCCGGGTTTTGGCATGAGGCTGTGGTTTTTATTATTGGAAAATCAAAAATGATAAAAGTTGTTTTGGTAAGGAAACTGAGTCAAAAACATGGTTAAAAATAACGCAAAACAGGTTCTAAGTTAACCCTTAGACCCTTCCCTGTGAGGTACATGCTGAATCCTCTGCATAGACACCTTGGCTGCATAACCAATATTCGTTTGCTCAGAGTTACAGTTTGCATGTTCTAAAGGAAATTGTTCCTACTCCTGCCCCAGAGGCACAGGCCCCACATTTATGAAAGTCGCCTTACGATTGCAATCAAGTAAAAAAATTTATTTTCTAAGAGTTTATCTTGAGTTTTATTTATTTTTTTTTTTGTAGAATCACTGGCTTTCTTATACATACAAATTAGTACATCTAAGGTTTCTGTTAATCCTACTGAGACGATGAAAAAAGAAAACAGTACCTATCAGAGTGGTAAACAGCAATCATTTGTTTGTTCAAACACCATTTGTCAAGCATTCTTTATGCACCAAGTATTTTGGTAGGTTCTGGGATAGAAAATTGAATATAACACAGCCCTTGCCATCAAAAATTATATAGCACAGAAAAGGTAATTCAATTAAAAGAGGACCTGCATAGACATTTTTCCAAAGAAGATATTCAAATGGTCAACACATTTTTAAAAATGAGGAAATCCTGCCATTTGCAACAACATGAATGGACTTTGAGTATGCTAAGTGAAATAAGCCAGACAGAGAATGACAAATACTGTATGATCTCATTTATATGTGGAATCTTTTTTTTTTTATCCTTGCCCAAGGACATTTTTTGATATTTTGTTCAGATAGAGAGGTAGGGAGAGAGAGAGAAACATCGACGTGAAAGGGACACATCGAGTGGTTGCCACCTGCACAACCCAACCAGGGCCGGGGACAAACTGCAACCGAGGTACATGCCCTTAGTGGGAACCGAACCTGGGTCTCTCTGGTCCGCAGGCCGATGCTCTAACCGCTGAGCCAAACCGGCCTAAGCTATATGTGGAATCCTATAAAAAAATTCCAAACTCAAAAAGGAGATCAGGTCTATGGTTACCCGAAGCAGATGGTGGGAATGGGGGAATTGAAGGAAGGGGGTCAAAAGGTATAAACTTTTAATTATAAGATAAATAAGAACAAGGGATCTGATATGCAATATGATGACTATAATGAAAACCACGGTATTTTATATATATATATATAGTTAAGAGAATAAATCCTAAGAGCTCTCATCACAAGGAAAATAATTTTTTTCTTCTTTCTCTTTTTATTCTATCTGTATGACATAACTGATGCTAACTAAGCTTATTATTGTAATCATTTTACAATATATGTCAGTGAAACAAATATGCTGTATACCTACAATGCATACAGCGATGTATGTCAATTATGTCTCATTGAAACTGCGAGTAATGAGATGGCGATTCGGTGAGAGGATACTGACTTGTACACAGACGATTATAATGGAATCCAGTACGTGCCATGAGTCTGGCACTCAGAACTCTGCCCAGAAAACACAAAGCTAGTCATCCAATCTCCCTTGGGTTAAGGCCCAAAATAGGGAACCTAATTAAACCACTGGGAAAACCAGAAATCTTCCAGGAAAACAGAAAATAATGATCATCATGGATTCTGTATAACTGTTCTAAGAGCTGCTTTAGCATGAGTCATGATCTCTGCTTTTTATATCAAACCAAGGTTGGAAATTGGTCATGGTTTTTATTAAGATGTGAGTAACCATCTCTATCAACTAGTGAAAGTCTTTAATTAATTTATCCCCGAATTTCTGGAACAATGGCTTAGGTACTAAAGATCATGTCACCCCAACCGGCCTGGGAGCCTCACCCGCTCCTTGCTCCTCGCTCCTCGGTGGACTTGTGAACTTCCAGCGGGAGCAGAGGGCCAGTGCTGGCCTGCAGAGTCAGCAGTCAGACCTGCTGCTCGCTGGCACGTGTGTACCCAGCAGGCATAAACAGAGTATCTACCAGTGAAAGCAGTTCGCTACTGCCCGGGAACTTCAGAGAACGCTTTGTAGGGGACGAGAGATGCTACACAACTGAGAATATTAAGAGCAAAAGTTAATAAAGAAGCTAGGAGCAATCTATAAATTTAATAAACTGGGAAATGTTATGCTATGGCAGCCGGGTTGCTACTAGAACCAATGAGATAAGCTCCAGAGTCATCCCGGGACACTGTTCTGTCCCAAAGAGTTGGGTTTGTTTGTTTTTTTTTTGGCTTTTGGTTTTGGTTTTTTTTCAGATTTATGACCTATTTTTCACAGTTTACTGAATCTGCTGACTGGTGGGAGCATCAGGGCTTATGGGCCACCAAAAATGGCTTCAGGATGAAGAAAATAATGTGCCTTTAGACATGATTCCATTTGGAGTAATGATAGAAAAAAATGCAGAAAGATGCTATAAATCAGACTTCATAAAAATAACCAAAAGTGGTGTTTTATCAAAAACATTGCACTGTCAACACCCACCTACTAATGCTCATCCGTAACTACCTGTTAAACTTTAAAACTCTGTGTTTATGGAAATTTGAAGTTAAACCTTATGATAATTAATATGAAATAAGAACATACTGTATTCTTAGGTTATTTTCTCGAAACCATTATAAACAGAAGGATTGATGATAATAATAATGAGTAAATCCAGTCACAGTGTTAGAATATCAATTTTTTAAAATAAGGATAAATATATCAAAAAAAATTATAAAATTAAACCATTGGTAAAAAGTTACAGCTAATGGACAAAACTAAAAAACATATTAGAATAAATGGTGTGAAGATGGTTTTTATGAATTCATAGACCTAACATTTCAAATGGAGTTCAAATTGAGTTCATCTTAAATTTTACGAGTCATTAAACCATGTGGCATTTTACATCTTTTTATATTAGCTTAAACTCTGAAGGGCAGAGTTTTAAAAAACCTGAAAGCTAGAGAAATAATGCAAATGTGACATTTGAAAGGGAAGTCATTTTTTTTTTTTTTCACTCTTGTAGATACTAGAAGAAATTTGTCAGAAAAATAATTGGGGACAGCCGGTATATCAACTGCACTCTGCCATTGGACAGGATCAAAGACAACTGTTCTTATACAAAATCACCATTCCTGCTCTGGCCAGCCAGAATCCTGCAATGTGGGTAACTTCTCCAAATTCCTAAGCATAGAGATTTTTCAAGAAGAGACTCTTATAAACTAAGTGAATTTAACCACTATCTAAAAAAGATAAATATTCAAGTCTGCTACCTGCTCATTTTTTATTAAATGCAAACGTTGAGATGCAGATTGGGGATGTTTTGCTTCAGCTATGAGACTGACACCTCAAAACCCCCAAATTGTGTGTAGACGATGAAGACCTGGTAATACAATCAACCAATGGGAAATCGCAGCTGTAAAATTTAACAGAAATGAAAACTATAACCCATTCTTTGATCTGTGTAGTATTTAGGTTGAACCATATGAAACAGCCATTTTATACAATATAACGTCATACCCTGTCATTTAAATGTTGACCAAAGATATTACCTCTGTGTTGGTGGATATCACCTTCTGAATTTTCCCTTGAGCCTGTATGTCTACATTATTTTAGGAACCATAGTGTTTCATATGTACCTTAGAAAAGCCACAGAATAAGTTACAAGCATGCTCCAAGAATGACATCAACCACCCATGTTCTAGGTCAATTCACAGACATTTCTACATGCATCTATATTTAGAAGCTTGAATAGCAAAGAGAATGAAAAATAGGATAAAAATCCTAAGATCCTATCATTTTCGAATGCTCACAGCACCTTAGAGTTTCACCTGTCTCAGTAGCACAGGTTTAAAAGGCCTACCCTGCCTATGCTTCCAGCCACCCTTTCACACCTCCAAAGCTGAGCGCCTACGTGGATGAAGCGAAGACGTACGCAGCCGAGTACACCCTGCAGACCCTGGGCATTCCCGCCGATGGAGCCAACGCTTCCACCACAGCGGTCACTGCCGCTTCGGCTGCTGCGTTTCCAGGTAGGAAAATACTGGAGCAGAAAGACAGTGCTTGGCAAACCTTTCTTGGTACCATGGACTCATAGAGTTGTTTGTAAACTCCACCTGCAACAAATCCGATTTCCGCCCTCTGTGACCAGCTTTGCCAGATAATTGAAACATCCGAGCGTGAGGCTAGAGAATTGAGCTGGGCTGCAGAGTGGGGTCTGGTCTCGGCTCAGCTGCAACAGCTGTGTGATATCGGATGAGTCAGTCCCTCTGCATCTCCTTTGGTTTGGTTTGGTTTGGTTTGTGTTTTACTTTTCCCAAGGCAGTCTGGAGCTACCTATTAATAGCTGACGTTTCTCTGAGCTCTTACAATGTGCCAGGCACTCGCCTAAATCCCCAGCATGCTTTGTGTTCTCTCAGTCATTCTCATGACGCCACACGAGGTAGGGGTTCTATCAGAGCCTGTGGTACAGGGGAAGAACCCACATACTGCAAAGATGAAGTCATGTAGCCAAGGTTAGCTTTTAAGCAATCCTTGTGTTCACCCCTCTCCCATCCAACCTTTGATTTTACTTTTATTACTTTGATTTTTGAAAGAGATGTGTGGATCACATTTTTCTTAAATTATTTTAAGTCAAAAACTATGTGGTGTGTGTGAGAGAGAAACAGATTCTTTCAATATGTGCACAATCAGGCCTCTCTCTGTCTGTTCCATAATTGTGGTCTGGGGCATGTGCTGAACGCTAAAATATTGTCCATCTGCAGATCAACAAGGCTTCAGGGTCACATTTAAAGATTTTTCCTCATTTATTATTCACCTACAATAAATGCTGATATTTAGACAAATGAATCCTCTAGAGAGGGGACCAGACAAATTTCTTTTGAAAATTTTTTCTCAGCATTTAGTTTGAATAACACCATTCTTTTTTTTTTTTTTTAGTAATAAAAGTTTTGTTAATTTTAATTGTCATTCTGCCTTGTCATTTTGTCTATATGCCCCCATAAGCCCAAATCAGAGAATTCTGACTAGACCTAGAAATATGACACTCCTTTTGATTAATTCATCTATTGGTTATACAAAGGTGAGAGAACTCTATATTTCTCACATCCGTAACACTTGGAGCTCACTCTCATATTTTTATTTCTCAAAAATGCTGAATATATCCTTCACTCTGGCAGGTGAGGCTGAAACTAATGCTTTACACGCGAACGTGACCCCAATTCCAGGTTTCTCTCTAGAAAGAGAACATCTGTGGTGCGCCCCTAAGTGGTTACCAAGGCAACAGAGCGTGCATTCTCCCCTGGGCTGTGCTAGGCCATCAACCCTGGACTTGAGTTCCATAAAACAGGGTGTTAACGTCTGTCCACTGGGGATGTGTGCAAGGACTTCTTAGCTCTTGGAGAAAGTTGAACCCCTGTCTTGCAGAAAGCTGTACCCCTAAAGACCCCTAACAAATGCACTATAAAAATAAATGAGCAACTGTCAGGAGAATTTTAAAGTTTCCTTTCACATTGAAAAGGATTTGCTTTTTCTCAAGAATATTGTATTTTATCCTCACTTAATATCTCCGACAAGAAGTCAAACAAAATTTAGGGCATGACAGTTGTTTTGGGATTGCCTACGAATTTAAGAACCTCCCATAACTTTTCAGGGGAATCAAGCAGAGTAAATAATAGGCTTCAAGGGAAGAATCTATCTGAAACACAAATACTCTTGCACCTAAGAAATTAGTCAAATTGCAAAAGAAAATGCAAAATCTCTAAAGATAAAATCTATGCTACACACACACACACACACACACACACACACATTACTTACTCATTTACTCAGTGTTTTAAAAAACAGTCCAGCCAGCTTCCTGCCACCGCCTCCTGAGAAGCCACCAGAAAGAAATCAATGTGTCTGGGGTTGGGCAGACTTCCACCACAGCATGTGAAACAAATGGGCTTTTGTCTTTTTTCAATCAGATCCCCATCCATTGCTTAAGTATCCTTTTCTCTTTTTCTTGCCATCTTTCACAATTTTTGATCATCTCAAATACCCAGGTTTTGGTCTAAAACACTAACTGGGTAATATTGCTTTAAGATAAGAGCTGCTATGCTCTCTTTTTCAAAAGTGAATATTGATCAACTAAACATAATACTAAGGCGAGAGTACACTGATGATTCCCTTATCAGTCAAAACTGTGTTCCCTGGGCATGAGGACGAGCACCAAAATACACCAACATCAGCGTGATGGGAGGGTAAGAACATGCTATTTGCCCTTCAAGGTTAGGCCTAAATGTGGACAGGCTATTTGCTTTCATGGTGCTATACTATAGAAACATGCGAAAACTAAGTATTTCTCCTACTGGTCTACCTAGTCCCTGCACGCACTTCTCCAGTGAGCTCAATGTCTTTTATCATTTCACAGGGTGAGGGGTGGGGTGCAGCAGAAGCAGACCCACAGAGCCCCACCCCCCCTCCCTGCCTCCTTTACGAATTCGGAGACCCTCTATGAAGGCTCTAAATCTCACGCTGTAATCAGCTCAGCATCCTATTAAGTTTGTTTCGGGGAATCTATCCCCAGTGTTTCTAATTCTTTAAGAGTGAAATGACTCTGCCACAGGGCTTGACCTCACTCTGAGGGATGCTGCTCTCTAAGGAATGAGTCCCCTGAGAGCACCTTTTAGAGCATACAGATGAGCATATGCACATATTCCGAAAAGAAGACAATAAGCCAAAGGGAAGCAAGTGGGAATCCCTTTCATGAAGTGTTCTCTGCCTCCTCCTCCAGGGTATGCCATCCCCAACGCAACTGCACCTGTGTCTGCAGCCCAGCTCAAGCAAGCAGTGACGCTCGGACAAGACTTAGCCGCTTACACAACGTATGAGGTCTACCCCACTTTTGCAGTGACTGCCCGAGGAGATGGATATGGAGCCTTCTGAAGATATCTTTTTTAAATTTTAATAATAAGACTCAAAACTCTATATAGAAGAAATAAACCTCTAACTCAGTCCCCTAATGATCACACATAATACTTTTCCTCATGCCGTGCTGTTCTCAAGATTGTAGAGTTTATACTAACTGTAGACTCATAATATGAGAACATTATTCCCAATTGAATCAAATGTTAAAGAGCCTTTTCTCTAACAGAAAGCTAAACAGACAATGCCCCAAACTTGTTCTTCTATGGTTTCTGAGAGTCTTGGGAGTATGTTTCCAAAGCCTGACAGAGCAGAGAGAAATGTTTTAGCAGACCTCAGTGCTCAGTAACAACAAAGAGAGCCCGGTCAACTCCAGAGTCTTCACCCTGGCTTGCAGCTGTGTTTGTGATACCCAAAGCCACGCCAGCTGGTGTGGCTCACTGGTTGAGTGTCGACCCATGCACCAAGAGGTCACTGGTTAGATTCCCAGGTCGTGAGCTCAATCCCCTGGTGGGGCATGCAGGGGGCGGCCAATTGAAGTTCTCTCTTATCGATGTTCCTATCTCTCATTCCCTCTCCCTTCCTCTCTCTCTAAAATCAATAAAGAAAAAATATTTTAAAGAAACATGTTCCCCATTCCCCATTAGGTGGGGCATGTGCACAGGCTGCAGTATGAAAGACTGTCCGAGGTCTGATGAAGCAGCATCACTGCAGTCTGAACATCCCATCCAGTCACTTCGCCATTGGTCCGCATCTCCCATTCCTGCAATCCCAGGGGACTTCCTGAAAATTGATGTGATATATTGCAGACATGCTTAAAGCAATCCAGGCTTATTGTTCATGAAACTCATTAGCCCACCTCTTTTTCCCTAGAACCCCTGCCCTTCCCAAGTATCCCCACAAGACAATAATCATTCTAACTTAAAATGACTTTTTCTTGTTTTAAACATCTGATGTATCCATATTGATTTATTTTCATTTCAGTCTTACTTTGCTGTTCTCCTATATCTTCCAAAAGTAAACCACATTTACAGACTATTGCCTATGATACTTCTAGGTATTCAGCAAGTTGGCTATAAAGTCATTTCAAACAAAGAGAGAAGTGAGGATTCACTTTTGTTTCTTTGACCTTTTTGCAATACCCAGACCACCACTCAGCATTTAGAGACAGTTATATTAACTTGGTTCAGCCTTGAACTATCTAACCTGCTTATATTAAATCTGCCAAGAAATCCTCTACCTTCCTTTCCTCTTACTTCCAATGAGCATCAGATAGCGTCAGCAGAGCCATATGCTTCGGTCTTGGGAGTCATCACAGGAAAATCTTACATGGTCACTGCTGATTACAAGCTGATTCTTCAGACACTCAGCAAGGGTGCTATTTACCCAAAGTGCCTAGCGTTGGGGGGCCTCCCTTCCTGGAATATCTGATGGGGGTGAGAGTGCTATAAAAACTGGAATGGAAGGGAGCAGAAGGTACCATGTGCTTGCCATACTTGGACATGATTGCTTTTTGTTCAAAACAGAAATAATTGAATTCCAACCACCAAATACCTATCACTGCCACTCAAGTCAAGTCACATTAGTGGTTTAAGACATAACAGTACTACAATTTTCATTTTTAAAAATCCCTTGGCCCTTCTAACATTCTATAGGACTCAAGGGAAAATGCAAGCACAAAGGAATAAAAAATTGTCAACTCTTTTTTTTCCCTGTTCACTTGATTTTTTTTTTTTTAAATATCTTGATTGTTGAATGTATTACAGATGTCCCCCCTTTTCCAATATTGACCCCCTCCTTCCCACTCCCACCCCCCTCCTGCCTTCCCCACACTATTGTCTGTGTCCATTGCTTATACATATAAGTTCTTTGGTTTATCTCTTCTCACCCCGTTGAAGTTCATCCGTCTAACAACCAATTTGTATTGCTTAATTCCTTCACCTTTTTCATCCATCCCCCCAACCCCCCTCCAATCTGGCAGTTATCAAAAATTTATCTATATCTATGAGTCTGTTTCTGTTCTGCTTGTTCATTTTGTTTGTAGATTCAATTGTTGACAGATATGTATTTATTGCCATTTTATTGTTCACATTTACCATCTTTTTCTTCAAGAAGACCCTTCAACATTTCATATAATACTGGTTTGATGGAGATGAACTCCTCTAGCCTTTTTTTTTGTCTGGGAATCTCTTTATATGTCCATCAATTCTAAATGATATCTTTGCAGGATAGAGTAATCTTGGTTGTAGGTCCTTGTTTTTCATCACTTTGAACATTTCTTGCCACTCCCTTCTGGCCTGCAAAGTTTCTTTTGAAAAATCAGCTGACAGTCTTATGGGTGCTCCCTTCTTACTGCTTTTCTCTTGCTGCTCTTAAGATTCTCTCTTTGTCTTAACCTTTTGAATTTTGGTTATGATGTGTCTTGGTGTGGGCCTCTTTCGTTTCATCTTGTTTGGGACTCTCTGTGCTTCCTGGACCTGTATGTCTGTTTCCTTCACCAAGTTAGGGAAGTTTTCTTTCAAATAGGTTTTCAATTTTTTGCCCTCTCTCTTCTCCTGACACCCCTATGATGTGAATGTTGGCATGCTTTAAGTTGTCTTAGAGGCTCCTTACACTATCCACATTTTTTTGGATTCTTTTTTCTTATTGCTGTTCTGATTGGGTGTTTTTTACTTCTTTATATTTTAAATCGATGGTTTGCATCTTGGCTTTACCTACTCTACTATTGATTCCCTGTAAATTATTCTTTATTTCAGTTAGTGCCTCCTTCATTTCTGACTGGTCCTTTTTTTATGCTCTTGAGGTCCTCACTAAGTTCCTTGAGCATCCTTATAACCAGTGTTTTGAACTCTGGATTTTATCTCCATTTTATTTAGTTATTTTCCTAGAGTTTTGTTCTGTTCTTTCATTTGGGACATGTTTCTTTGTCTCCTCATCTTGGTTGGCTCCCTGTATTTGTTTCTACATATTAGGTATAGTTGCTATGTCTCCTAGGCTTTGTGGGGTGGCCTATTATATAGTAGGTGTCCTGTAGGGTCCAGTGGCACAGCCTCCCTGATCACCTCAGCTGTGCCCTCAAGGTGCATCCTAATGTGGACTGTACACCCTTCTGTTGTAACTGTGTCTTGGTTGCTGTTGGCATGTCTATGGGAGGGATTTACTCAGGCTGATCAGCTTCAAGGACTGGCTGTGTCCACTGATCACTGACCTCTGACTACTTTGGAGGATCAGCTGTGCAGGGGCCCACCACACAGAGCAAGACTTTCTTCAGCAGGGCTCTGGTACCCACTGAGTACCAGAGTGTGTTGAGTGTGTTGCTTGTGGAAGTAGTTGGGAGCTTCAACGTGGTCTGACACTGTCCACTGGGTATACTGCTTCTGGGGCAAGGTCAGCCGTTGCCTGTGTTCTACCCACTACAAAGTGATCTGCAGACGGCTGCTTCTTGTGCTGGGCTTGAAGGTGCCATAAGGAAAAGCCAAGTTGTGAACCAAAGCTGGCTGCTTCTAGTGCCAGGCCTTGGGCCACTTAGAAAAAGGTATGGAGCTTGCTGAGGGCAGATGCTGTTTGCTTGAAAGAATTTAAGAACATATGAAGCAGGATCCAAGACAGGTCAATCCCATGGTAAAGCCACTGGAAATGGCCTGGGTGGTCCTGAAAGTTGGGTGGGGCAGGGCCTCAGGGAATCACCAGTGTGAGCCAGTTTCCTGGAGTCCCAGATATGGTGGCCTCTGCCGCCTCACCAAAGGAACAATGGCCTCCACCAGTATGTCTGTCCAGGAGAAAGCTTCCTGTCCAGCTCTTGCCAGATGCCAAACAACTCAGTCCTTCCCCATATGTCTCTGATGATTTCCAAACTGCCTCTCTCACACTGGAGCCTGGAAGGAGCAAATCTGAGTAAGTCCGTGCGTGGGCCCTTTAAGAAGAGCTGCCTGGGACTCCAGAAGCCTCAGCCTCCCTGAGCCTCAGTTCCCTCTGGTTTTTCCAGCCAGAAGTTATGAGGACTTCACTTCCTGGCACTGGAACCCTGAGCTGGAAGCTTGGTGTGGGACAGGGATCCCTTGCTCGTCAGGGAGGACCTTCCAAGCCAAGGTGTCCTCCTGATTTTTATCCACCACACGTGGGTGTGGGACCAGCCTGTCTGTGCCTCCGCCCCTCCTATCTGTCTGGATGTGGCTTCTTCTTTAATTTCGTCATTGTAGGACTTCCATTCAGCTCGATGTCAGGTGGTTTTGAATGATGGTTGTTCTATAGTTTAGTTGTCATTTTGATGTGGTTGTGGGAGGACATGATACCGCATTTACCTACACTGCCATCTTGACTGGAAGTCAAAATTGTCAACTCTTGACTGGGAATTCTATGATTCAAAATCAGATCAGATTCCCATCAAAATCAGATAAATTCCAATAACAATTACAAATCTTTGCCCTGGGCAGTTTGGCTCAGTGGTTAGATTGTCGGCCTGTGGACCAAGGGGTTGTAGGTTTGATTTCCAGTCAAGGGCACATACCTATTTGCAGGTTTGATCCCCAGCCCTGGTAGAGGTCATGTGGGGGGCACAATCGATGTGTCTTTCTCACATCGATGTTTCTCTCTCTCTCCCCCCCTTTCTCTCTCTTTCCCTTCCTCTCTCTCTTTTTCTCTTTCTCTCTCTCCCCCTCCCTCCCTTCCACTATGTCTAACAATCAATGGAAAAATAGCCTCAGGTGAGGATTAACAACAACAATAAAAAATGTCCTTGTCACCTTTTAGTTCCATTAACTCAAATCAGATCACAAAGGCCTCAATGCTACAGATGGAACTCTGAAAGGCCTTGTGTTTTTAGCTTTATATTTTGCTTCTCAGATTCCCTGGGACAGTGGTTCCCCAACTTGACTACAAAATAGAAACATCTGGAGAGATTTTTCAGTGTCAAGATCACACCTTATACAAATTACTGGAAGGTCTTGGGGTTGGTCATTTTGGCGTTAGTATTTTTAAAAGATAAGATGATTCCATTAGGCGACTCAGTTTGGAAACTTCTATAGTCTTTGCATTTCTACTCTATCCCTTAATTTTTTTCCTTTCTAGTTCATTTTTGTTAAATAGAAAAATGCAGGAAAATTT